CTTGCAACTCAATTGTACAAATGCTTTAACACGTGTGCTTATTTTTCAGTTGAATAAAAATCACTGGAAATACCATGCAAGAGAGGCACATACTTGCTCTGGAGCATTGCATTACAACACTTGTGGACATGCAAAGTATTGTGCTAAACCTCAGGCTTACCTCTAAGCAAATAAGAGGTCATACTCAACTCTTTGAAACTGAGCATGTTTTTGAGTTCTCAGAAATTGCTCGTGCACGCAGGTAGATACAGCACGGTTGGTGATGACAGCAATGGCCCACAGTGGGACCTGAGCGGGAACAGAAATGCCAATGTTGTGATGCCAGAGTGTCTGAAAATGGTCTAAACTCCCAGTTGCCTCTAAAGCAAAGCACATAGTAAACTGTTCTGTAAGAAATCCAGAGACTGAAATATATTTGCATAAAAATTGCACTTTTTCACGTAGTCAACGGATTTATCAAATTAAGACCCTTTTCAGATTATCTGCAATTAGTAGAAAGACACTGCAGTGGAATAATCAATATTACCTATGAATCGCCTGCCCTAAAACAGCTTCCTTTCTTACCGCACCATTTCAGGTTTTCAGAGGCACCTTTCTTATGAGTAACATCACCTATCAGCTCTGTGGTAGCACAGAGAGCCTTGTGTGAGTCACTCTTTGAATAAACAGAGGAAAGCTTTCAATATAGTGTGTAGTGTTCAAGGGGAACACCTTTCCAGTGTTTCCACATGAAAAGTTTTACATTTGAATTTTTTAACCTGGGGGCAGTAAATGCTGATCGCTTTTACTCTGCAACATTGTTCTATTGTCAATAATCGTTCTTTTCATAGTGATAATGTGGATTGACTTGATCACTAGAAACTAAACCAAGAAGTTAGCCTGCAACACATGATGACTTGAAGGAGTTTTTATTGCTACTTAATTGATTTTTGCTCTAGATGCTCGTGCAAGGTAAACAGTGTCATTAAATACAGATTTGTTTTAAATGAGATCAGTAGGCAATCTGCTTGCTACTGTCCTTTCTTCAGAAGGGAAAGGCTTCAGGGGAGAACTTACTGTGCCACTAATAGCACTGAGGAGACAACCTGAAAAAAACCCACCCAGCTGTTGTAGACAGTGTGGCTTAAATAGGCATTACCTTGGAGATGCGATATTAATTGCCTACCATATTTTCCACCTAAGCCCCGTCCATTGTCAGAATGAAGAATGTGTCAGTGTCAGTGTTCATACTCTATTTTTTTTTCCTTCTGTGCCTCTTACCCTCTGTTCTAGATTTTAACAGCTGCCTATTTTGAATACTACAGCTGAATTTTTAAGCTTTATTTCTGCTGTGGTAACTGATCCTACTTGCTTTTACCTCTCTATTTCTAGCTGCATGATTTTATTAACTGACAAGCTGTTACTTTGTTTAACAGTAGAGTGTAATGCCTCCTCTTGATAAGGCAAAAAAAGAACACTTGCAAAAGCTGAGTTGCCAGCATCCGAACTCTCCTTTGTGAAGTTGTAAGAAATAAAGCCATAAATGCATAAGGATATTTATCATACTAGATTTTCTCTTATTGCTAACGTAATTAAATGAAATAAGTCTATCCATATGTATATCAGCATAATAAAAAGCAACATTTCATGCTTTCAGTCACTGGCATGCTAGAGAAACAAAAGGCTTCTTGAAATCCAGAAGATAATACTTTGATAAGGAGTGAAATATTCACTTAAATTCTAATTTGGGGCCTAAATTCACTGGCCTGGGTAGTAGAGAATGACTGAGGGAGTGGCCTTCAATGAGCCAGTTTATGTACTAAGGTATGTAAATTGCTGGGCCGGTTAACAACATGCAGAAAGAATATGGTTTTGACTCACTTTGATGCACTGTCTGAAATGATACCTATTTTCCTCTCCCTCAATTGGAAGGAAATACAAATACCACATCTAGTTCTGGAACTGCTAAGTATGAATGCACTGAAGGGGATGAATGAGATGAGACAGCTGACGTAATTTAATCCCTGGACTCCTTTTTTTTTTAACGCCTTGACTGAGGGCAGAATTATGAGGGAATGATTTGTACTCTTACTCCACACCTTCTTACACAAAGAAATAAAATATATTGCTGAATGTTTGGTTGATTTAAACTAGTAGGGAATGAATCAAAAGAAAGTTTACCAAACAACATAAAAATACTGAGGCTTGTGAAGAAACCTTGACAAGAGGAAGACTCTGCACTACGTGTTCAGAATGAAAACAGAACCAGGGATGCACCAGCTGTCTGCGCGAGATGATGGATGAAAGATGCTCCTGGCAGCTCACAACCTTGTATCTCATCTATATCGTGTTCTGTTTCTCCTTTCAGAGCGCGACAAAAAACAAACTGTTTCTGTAGGTCTTGCTGGATTTTACACAGCACATGAAGTGATGAACTGAAGCTGAAGGTCCATCTGTTCTAATGCCTTGTCTGCCGCTGATCTTGGCTTTTCATGCCTGAATTCTGCTACCAAAATAGAGAAGTTTGATAGATTTCTGTTTCTGGGGAAAAAAGTGACTTCTATGCATCAGATTCAGATGGCCGTGGAGTGTATGGTGGATGATGCTGGTAGAGGTGTAGGGGTCGGGCATATGTAGCAAAGTGAGGTGGGGCTTCTCACAGTGTTTCTGATTCAGGATGAAAGTTTTTGTGTGCGTGCAATAGCGTTAGGACTCAAATTGCAGCTACAAGCGCGTCACCTCCCATACTTAAAAATGAGCTGGGATCATGCATCTTGTGAGAACAGTCACGTTGAACTCCAGACACTTACGGCCAAGGATTTGCAAGCAGAAGAAAAACCAGTTCGATGCTTGGGGAGGTTTTCTAAGGCTTTGGTGAAGCAAAAGGTGAGGTGAAACCGAGGTGCACCGCAGTCACCATCAACAGCTTCCTCGCGCTTCTCCTCAGCCGTGGTGCTCCAGCCTTTCGGGCGAGGGGTGGGCGTGCGGGGTCGCAGGGGGACCAAGGC